AATATATATAATATTATATATATATATATATATATATATATATATATATATATAAATTTTTTATGTACTAGTTTTAAAGCTAAAAAAGTTTCAATGTCGATATCATCTATTGAAAACATTATTCAATGAGAAGAAATTAAATGTTTTATTATTAACAAATTCTATTGTCAATTTACAAATTAAATTACCGTAAGTAATTCAATTCAGTAGTTCAATTTAATTATAAAATAATTTATCTCTAAAATATTTTTAATATTAATTAAAAGTAAATGGAACAATTTAATAAAAGAAAGCAGGCAAATTCTGTATTAGCAAATTGAATATATCGCATATAGTGGCCTCTAGAACTGCATTTCGAATGCAAAATGTATTAAATATAAAAAGCAATGATATTTAACAATTGCTGATAATTTATCAATCGATGGTCATGTAAAAAGCATATTTGCCGACATAGCTTGTATAATAATTCTCATTACTTTGGATTTTCATCAACTCCGATTAACTTAATCGACCGATTATTCCACTGGAATTGACCAATCGCAATTTGTTCACAAATTTAACAACAAAATGATTGGTCAATTCCAAAATAATCGACCGATTAAATTAATTGGAATTGAAAGTGGTCCTAAATGATCATGACATCGAAAAAATGAATATCAGATCGATAAAATATCATTTTATTAATGTGCTTAAAAAAACGCAACCATAGATAAATTATCATATTATCTTATTGAGCGAATGTAAAAATAATTTGATCAGCTCCATTGCTCGTAAGAATGATAAAAATTGTATCAGTTTAATTTAGATTTACATACACAAAATGTACAAAATGTAACGTGCAAATTATTTTATAATTAATTATTAATAACTGCAATAAAAATAATATATAATTGTATAATAGTATATAATTATATAATTATATAATTGTATATATTTTCTACATAAATAAAAATAATTTTGTTGATTTTATGATAGAATAAAATACATATATAACATGGTTTTTAAAAAAATAGTTAAATATTATTATATTTAATTATTATATTTAAATATAATTTTACTCGAGAAAAATTAATATTCAATTTATATACATACATTTTAATAAATAATATATGACACAAATAAAATTGATTATTAGAGCTGTACACCATAGTAAATATATATATATATATATATATATATATATATATATATATAGAAAAAAACCTATATCTTTCTGAATGACTGTTAGAAACAATAATTGAAGTTTCTTAAGACATTTTGCAATTCGCCCTATAAAATTTGATATCATTGATATGTGTTAGGTGATTGATATGGCATTTATGTATTTGATCAATCGCACTTGACATTTGTTATATGATCGTATGTGAATTATGTGTTGTTATCAAAGATCGAATAGCAACAAAATATTCACATCGAAACGTGGTTCCACGATAATACTCTCATTAACCAGAATATCGTCCAACTGGTTTGTTTGCAATCTGTAGAGAGAAGCACTCCGAATCATGAAAATTACAAGTATACTATTCATTGCTTTATCGCTTTTACTAGTAAGTAACATCTTAAAATATTTTATCCTTTTTATTTCGTATTAAAGATTTTTTAATGTAAAATGTTTAATTAATAATGTTTAATGTAATTGTAAAAATAAACGTTTTGCATACTATCAAAAATTAAACTGCTTTAATTTAATTTCGGTATGCAATAATTTGTTCAATTTTTAATAAATTTATAAAATATATTATTTTATCTTGTATGCTGAAACTCGAGCGGACATTAAACGAGAGTGTCGTCAGCAAACGAATGTTTCTTGGGGTATGAGAATATTTTATTTCACTCACACATTAAAAAAAAAATACATTCCTTTTTCATAATTGATTTCTTTCATTCAGCATCCTTAAAGCAATTTAAGGCCGGTAACATTGAACAAAATGATATAAAATTGAAATGTTATTTGAGATGCTTTCTGATAAAAAGTGGTGTTCTTAGTGAGAATAACGATGTAGATGTTGAAAAAATTCTACGTTATCTTCCGTACAGTATGCAAGAATCATCGAAAAAGATTCTTAATCAATGTAAATCTATTCGTAAGTCTTTTCATTATATTTAGCTGCTTTATCGTATAACAAAGGTCAATTTATAATTATTACAACTTTTAAAACATACATTTTCTTTTCTCCCTACGCCCTAAAATATAATGTATAGAACGCAACAAATATATCAAATATTTGAAAAACAAATTTTTTATTAATAATAAATTAACAAAAAAATTAATTTTTAGAAGGAGAGAATGTTTGCGATAAAGCTTTTCAAATAGCTGTATGTTACATTAAAGCGCAACCTCAAGCAAGTATTATGATGTAAATTTATTATTAGCCTGAGGTATTTTCTCTCATATAACTTGCGCATTTTTTTTTGCAGATCTTAAAAATTGCACCGTTTATTTAGAAATAATTGCTTCGATCTTAGATTATATATGAAGCATAGCATCATGGCAAATATCAATATACTAACAGCATAAAGCAGCTATACATACATACACATGTAAAAATATTTATTAAAATTATACTATTTAAAGAATACATGAATGATTTTTATAATTTGCAATCTTCCGAAAACAATACAAACTAGTTAAAATACAAATTAATAATATATAAATTATTTAACATGTATGAAAATTAATTCTCGTAAAAATTAATGTAACTTTGATTGACATTTGTTTTCTTAAATATTATATATCATTTTAATATAATGTAAATTTTTATTTGGAGATTACACGTTTGTTGCTTACTTATTATTAAATACTTTTAAAAAAATTGAAGTTGCGCCATGTGATAATGTAGCCACAGCGTACAACATAATATAATTAATTCTATAAATGCGACACATTTTGTATTCGCAAAAATTCTGAAAAAGATGCCGGTAGAGAAAAAAAAATGAACGAGACCATGGTAACGCGTAATATTTGTTTATAATTTACGTCATATATAAATCTTATGTATTTACTCAACATTACACATTTTGTCAAAATCTCAGAATTTTTCCAAAATAAAGATTGACCGATTAGAGAACGTTTCGTAACAACGTACTTCATTATGTGCGATCATTGCGCGTAAGTGACTTTTATTCTACTTGTTTCATACAAAAAATAATTTTAATCTCTCATATTTTCTATTATATACTTTTCTTATGTATTATTACACACACACACACACACACACACACACACACACACACACACACACACACACACACACACACTACTA